TTGGAGTAAAAATGGTAAATACTTCGATAAATCTTGATGGGATATGGTTTGATTGATATAAGGTGATATAAGGTACTAGCTTTCCGCCCGCGGCTTCACCTGCGTGGAATTTTGTCTGTCACAGAAAAACTTTATCGCGTGCGTCCCTGTTTCAAAAACTGGGATAAAAACTATCCTATGTCCTTTCCCGGGACTCAATCTCTATGCCAAATTTCATCAAAATCAGTTCTGTGGTTTGGGCGTGAAGGCAAGACAGACAGAGTTACTTTCGCATTTATAATATTAGTATTATAATATATATTAGTATAGACTATAGATGTATAATTCCATTGGTTCGAACAAGCCAGTGTATACCAAAGATGCACTACGCTACGTGTTACGATTCGATTAAGTGTTAAGCATTCAGTGCATCGCAATGTTTGCTAGTGTGATAACAGTAGTGTACATAACTTTCAAGTGACTTTCCTTTATCATTCACTAAATACTATTAATGCACTTGACTATTTTCGGTGTCAAAACATTTCGTTCAAACCGACAAAGATAATGATCATTTGTAAAAACTCCGACAGACAATTTAATAGCATCTATTTCTGTCTGCCGAGTGTTTTTATCTAATTTATTAATTATCTCATTTGCATCTTTGATAATAACATCCAAAGACACACGATCCAGCCGACCTGTCTCGACAGGCATCGTAGGTGCGGTCCGTTTTTTGCATCTTCCGTTCCAACCGGTTCCATCGTCTTCATTGAAGCCTTACTCTTTTTGGAGTGCGCGGTGAAATCTTAATCTCGTGTGAAACGGTTTTTGAACTTCACGGTTGGGTTGAACTTGGGCAAGTAATGAGGTAAATAAATGTTAAATTTGACGTAAAGGCACCTTTAAGTTTGGCAAACAGAGCGGTTTTAGAGTTATTATTTATATTGGCAACCATGACATCAGAAACTGCTTATTTTTTCAACGCTTCAAAAATTTATTTGTGTAGTTTTATGGTGTTTTCAGAAATCATAGTACCTACTTATTTAAAAAGTCATTTTAGTATCATACGTTAGCTATTATCAAAATCTAATCTAGTGGGCTCGGTCAAAAGCACTAAAATTATTTATATTTATAGCTCCAAGCGGAAAAATACACAAGACTAAAAGTTCAAGCATACTGAATACTAATACTGATTCCAACTAAAGCAAGTCTTGCAAAAAACGGCCTAAATTTTCCACACGAAATGTTTCTGACGGTATTTAATACACGAATGCTCTTTCCCGAGCAAATTCAATTCGCAAAAATGTTTCAAATGTAATAAACAGAAAAATCATACAAAGGGTTGGAAAACAAAGTACGTTGTGTTGAAGGGCATCAAGGGATGAAAGGTCGGCTTTTGTTGCTGACCGTATGCGTGCCGTAAATATTACACAATGGTCTAATGATCTTTGTGATTTTCACGCAAACTTGGATGTTTGTTTTGTGAAAGCGTTGATACATGTTTGTTTTGGAAGTTAGAATTTTGGATGTTTGTCGACGACAAAATTCAAACAGTTGACCGATTTGGACCTACAATATTTTGGACGTTGGTGATTGCCAAAATTGACAAATTTCGTTAGCCAAAACTATAGCATGATTTAGGAAAAAAGAAAATTTTAGCATAAACAAAACTCGGTCATTACCGAATAGCTTCACGATATGAAAATTCTTATCAAAGAAAGAAAAGAAAAACAAATAAATACTATTTAGAAAAACGCAACGGTAGTTGTTAATTTAATTTAGTCATTTAACAAAGGCAAAAACTGGCAGCAGTCAATAAGATTGTTAACTTAATTGCATATTGAGTAGTTATTGTAAATAATCGATCAACGCTAAATAAACCAATAACTTTGAGAAGTTATGCTAATGACTAATAAAAATTCAATAAATATTTACGCAACTTCTAATCATAGGATCTTAGAATTAAAAGTAATTCAGTCTTATTCGTTGGTACGATGAGAGTTAAAAGGCCATTTTTTTTCTAAAAAATAAAGTAGTCTGAAGCCATTTTAATTGTCAGAACGGGATTGTAACCTCATTCTTCGCTAATTAACTTCCGATCCCTTTCTTTGTGAATCGAGTCGTCCACAAAAAACTAAGGACTTTCGAGGGGTGATTATTCACGTCGAGTTCCCAATGACGCATCCTTTTCAGTGACTTGTCGATTGAGTTACTATTTCGCAATGAATGTTTTGTCTACGAAAACAATAGAAAAGCTGCCTCCACACTAGCTGTTTAGTGAAAGTTATTATTTTTACCTGGGGGTTTTCAACCTTGAAGTAGCGCTATCATCACTGCACTCACTTGTTTGTGGCAATTTGACAGCACAGCCTATTTTTGATTGAGCTACATTTTCAATCTAAAAATGATGACAAATTCAAAGAAATACAATTTGAATTTATAAGAGAGAATTTTATACAAAAGTCGAAGAGAGAAGTAGAAATTTTCATATCACAATAGCAACACTGTATTACAAATTTATTGCTACAAAGTCGCCTAAGGCTCTTAATAGGCAATAACAGATGAAGTGAACTTAAACTCTAGTCAATCATCATAAAACGGCATTGTTTCTGCCTCGGGCATTATATTTCCAGACAATAGCTAAGAGCTTTATAGCGGTGTTTAACTACTTAAAACTGCTTGTTACGGGTCTTAAAACTAGTTAGTGAAGGAAAGTTTAAAATCTGCAAGCAAACTTCACGGAACGGTGTTAGTGAGGCACTGATGCTACTCTTTCTATTTCGATATACCTCGTTTTAATAGTATTTTAGTATATTCTAAACGGAATAGAAGTAGGTTGCAGACAGAGAGATTTTAGTTTACTGCAAAATTTTACACTACTGCTACATTTCACTGTATGCGAAATTCTTTAAAAAAATACAGATACAGAAAAATAGTTAATTATAACAGATATAGAACGTTATTATTACGGCTAACAATATTGGACACCTCAATTCAGTAGTAAATAATGATAGTGAGGTATAATTAGATAGTTTGCCACGATTAGATTAATCTATCGATGGTTATTCGATTTTATCGGAAGCTAACTACCGATTGGTAATACCCTCGAGAAGTCCAGATGACGGCATGTCAAGCTAACCACTGGCTGCTTATGAAGTTGTATTAAGGGTCATTTTGCGATAAAAGTGTAAAGTCTGATGGCGTCTACATTGCAAGGAGTTTGCCACCGCAAAACCTTTGCGGTTTGTAATAGGATACAAGCTATAAATAGGTTCTTGCAATAGCACATGAAACTACACACTGTGGCTCTTATACAGCTGTAATCATAACAACAATGTTAACAGCATTGTTGTGTTCCGGCAGTTAGAGGTAAGATAGCCAGTTCCTCCGTGGTTGAGGATTCCGGGTGAAGCTCGCTTCCACCTTCGGCCTAATCATCACTTACCATCAGGTGAGATACAGGCCAAGAGCTGCCTCTTTGTGGATAAAAAAATAAAGGAAGGTTTTGCAACAAAAAATGTATATTCCTATGTGCTGTCGACTACCCACAATGCAGGAAAACGTGACGTAAATTGGTATCTGAATTAACATTCTTCTAAGAAATAATAGGAAGGAGAATGCAAATGGCTCAATTAGTAACAGGTGCTAGGTAGGAATAAATACGCTTATATTGCTTTAATTAATATTAATTCACTTCGTGTGCAAAGAGGGAAACTTAGATATTAATACATAAATTATTAGTTAGTGAAAGTAACTAGGTAACTTGATTTATTGCAATATTATTATAATTAAAAAAAAAATGTCTGTATCATAATAATTCGATTAATGAAAATAGCGTTTCGATCAAATTACTTATAAAATAAGCTGTTTTGTTTTATAAGTAGTTATTTAACACAACAACAAAAAATGACCACAATTCAATTTGCATCATTACGTGAAAACATGAAAAAAATTACTTACGCACTTCTGCGCGTACACCTTTCAAAATGGTGAAGTAGGTAGGTAACTTACCTACCTTCGTATGACGCATGAATAATCTCTATAGTAATTCCGATACGTAAATTCCTGGAAGAATGTTTAGAAGGTCGTGGATTCAAATCCTTTAGAATTCTTTCAACTACCAGGTAGGTAGGTATAATTAAGTTATTGTTTGCAGATAAGTAAATTACTCCGTAAATAGGTATTAATTCCTATCAGTCACTTGTCTGTAAGATAAAAGTGTTTCGAATTGCAAACTACATTCTACTAAGTAAGTAGGTAATCTTTCTACCTACTTTAGTATTAGTAGACTAATGCCCGTTTTCACCATTAATCCCTAATTTTAAGTGACGCCTCCATAGGGGCGACTTGATTTCCTAATAACAACAACAAACTATTCTACCCACCCAAGGGTGACCCAAGCGAAGTCGGGGCGAGCCGCTTGTTTGATAAAAAAAAATTAAGTTAGGTAGTAGGTACCTACTTACCTAAAACTACAATACCTAGAAGTACCTACCTAGGTTAGGTAGGTAAGCATCTAGTTGTTATGATTGATAAAAGACCTAGCATTATGTAAAGACAATAATAGAACGTGAATTAATTATTATTGTAGGATTATATTACCGTAAACATTGAATATTCAAATAGGTTTGCGTCACGTTATCTGCAGATTGTAGTTAACTACAGTAACTGCTAAAGTTAACCTTCAATTGAATCCAGAACCAGTAACACGTAGCATTTTAATCTAAAACTAAGAATAGTAAGTGTAGTTTACCTAATTAGACATTTTACTTTTGCTCGTGGAACGCCCAAAATGCGGGTAGGAAACTCCGAATTCTTGTTTTTACAAACAATTATTGCACAACTAGAACAAAACTTTTTGCCGCACTTGCGCAAACAAAGATAGTGGTTACGATCTCGTGCACACAATCAATAAAAATCCTCGAGAGATTGCAAAAAAACTTATCGGAAAGCGAAGCCACGTCAGACGATACCTATAAGCAACAACAATAGTGTGATAAGAAAAAAAAACTTGAACTAACCGTAAAAAATCCGCTCACTTCTGGCTGAACACTACCTGAGATCTTTGCAGCATTCCAAATGCACAACAACAAATCCGATACCACTGGCTTTTTATTAACACTCACAGTAACAGTATTCACACTAAAAAACAATGGTACACTTGCAAAAAAACACAGTAAAAAGTATTTAGAACGTTTTTCACGAAAGTTTGTACGAGATTTACGAGAACGCGCGACGCGGCCTCCCCACACAGCGGTCGGAGCCAAACTGAGGGTCGCGCGTGCGAGTGAAAGGACGAATAAATTTTGAATGGACAAATTTAGCGTTGGAAAGAGATAGATTGTGGTGGAATAAAGTTAGCGGAATGGCAGCGGCATGACCGAGAACACAGATATGGATAGATGCAGCATGTGTCAAAAATTGTATGAAGCCGAGCGTGCCACTTTTTAAACGTCATTAGTGTCATTTTAGCGAATTTTAGTGATTGCCGCAACGTAAAAGTAATCGTATCATCGTACTGCATTCGCAAAGTCATCGAATGATATCGTGTGACTCGATTCGAAAATTAATTAATTCCGATAAAACTGATAATTTGTTAAATACAAAACTAAAAGCATCTTTATTTACCTTTTTAAAATAAAGTAATACTTACAAATCGTCAAATCTCGTTATTTTTTTTACCCTACCAGCGTTTCAAGACATAAAGTCAAGTGCATGAATACATGGATCAGTGTGTGTCTTATTGTTATGAGTAAGTACGGTTCCTTGGGATCGGTATGAGTGCACCACATACAGGGACCATGGTTTTAACTCTTAAGAGTACATCGCAGGATATGTATTAAAAACAATGCTACATTATACTTCTTCTACTGCTACTTTATTCTAATTAATTATTTGTTACTTGTGCTGTTAATTACATTTCTCAATCCGTAAATAATTTCTTCTTTCTACTGTGTTCGTACTACTGTCCTCGTAAAATCATCGTAACCGATTGTTGTAATCGGATTACATGAACATCACTCGACCATGTATGTCCATTTGGACATATCGGAATGGCACGCTTTGACGATCAACTTGCTGTATCTACTCTAATCCATATCTGTGACCGAGAATGACCACATGTTTCGCATTTGGTATAATACAATCGTTGCACAAAACAAATTTGAGTTGGCGCGTTTTTGTTGCGCGCCACGTGTTGTGAGTTAACGTTTTTTTAAAAATAACTTAATAGCTATCCGAAGTGTTTTTTTACTAAAAAAGCCATTAGGATTTGAAGATAATTCAGTAAATATACTTATGGGCTTTGAGTGACTATTAAGTTATTTTCTAACTAGTATAGTTTGAGTAGGTAGGTATACTTAGCGCTCTTTTGTGGTGAAAAAGAATCACGTTTTAAAATGTAAATGTACCCAAATAAAACTTGTCAGAACTTAGTGTTTAAGCGCATATAAATGCAAATTTCACATTCTGCAAAAGAAAGTAGCTGAAAATTTTGCAAGAATAAATTATGCATAGCTCATAGCGCGGCGCGATGAAAAGGAAAACCATATTAATTTTTCAGATAACCCTGATGCTTTTTTCTGAAAAATAACTTGCATGCTTTTACGTAGAGACCGTTAATGTGCGACATTTTAATTAAACATGGATTCCGCGTGTTTTTACACATTTAAAATATTATTGGAATTCCCGGTTCTTTTAACTATTATTGTGGGTGGAAAGGGCGAGATCAAACGCTTATTTTATTTTAAAAGAATCTGTTATAATGTAGCTACAGTATCTTTATTATTATTATGATTTATCTACTACATTTATAACTGAGTAACATTATTCTTACTTAACATATTATTATCTGGGGGCACGGCAGTGCCCCCACCAAGTCGAGCAAAAAAGCGGCACGGCCGTACCATCCTTTTCTCGAAGCAATTCAGGCCATTTTCGACCGCCTGTAACTTCGTTGTGGATAAAACTAGAAGGCTGAATTTTCATTAGCTATGCAGGCATTGTAAAGACACGGTATATTTAAAATTTCATTCAATTTGAACCAGTAGTTTAAGAATTATAACGGGTCAAAGTTACTTAATTTTGTCACTCACTGACTGACTCACTCACTCACTGACTCACTCACTGACTCACCGATCATCAAAACTCTAAGGCACTTCTAGCAGACCTAGAAGCTTCAAATTTGGAATATAAGTAGTGTTTGGTGTATGAATCAAGGAAAAACTAAAATATTTGGGGGCACGGTAGTGCAACCGCCAAGTCGAGTAAAATTTTTCAATTTCGGTCCAGTTTTCTAGATACATAACTGCTGTCTACAAAATACAAAAAGAAATGAGATCCCATCAAAAACAATACTTGTCAAAAAAACCAAGTCTCGCAACTCAGTTGTTCTACGGTAAAAAGTTGTGAGATCCATGTAATACCAAGTCCAGGCCAGGAAATCTTTAACGTTTTACATAAATATATTGACTTGGTCATCGCATGAAAACACGTGTAAATAAAATTATTTAGTGCGATGGCCAAGTCAATAATTTATGTAAAACGTTAAAGATTTCCTGGCCTGGACTTGGTATTACATGGATCTCACAACTTTTTACCGTAGAACAACTGAGTTGCGAGACTTGGTTTTTTTGACAAGTATTGTTTTTGATGGGATTTATCTACTACAACTAACTAAGTAACATTATAACCGCAAAAGTTTGTTTGAAAGGATTTATTTAGGGACAGTTGTTTGTTATTCATTCATGGAAAAACTACTTAACGGGTGTTGATAAAACTTTACAATGTAAGTACAGCTTTGGTGAGTGATGTTACAGTGTCTATTTATAAGTCAGTCAGTTACTTTTTATTGAAATCTGTTTTAACTACCTACTTAAATTAATTCCAAGAAAAAATGAAATTTTAATGTTTATACATATAATTTGTCCCAAAATTCAACGATAAACCGGACTACTTTAGGAAGGATAGGATAAGACTAGGACTTTAGGAAAAATAAGAAAACCATTAAGATTTTTTCTTTTAACTAAATCTTGGGAAAAGTAAGAAAAGAATTATTTTTTTTCTTATTTTTCCTAAAGTAGTCATGACTGTACTATCGGGGACTCTTCCGCCTGACCACTTTGTAGAAATTTTAGCGTAAGCGCATCGCTCCGGTCACGTGCTCACCCCGTCTCTAATTGGTTACGCATTTTACTATATTTTTACTACGACCAATAAGAGACAATCAGGGCTTAGGTTGCAATACGAAATACCATTGTGCACTTTATTGTCATACGGTTAGGGTTTAAAACGAAATGTTTCTTTTTCTTCAATCTTTCTTAGTTTTAGGCTGAGTTGCACCACCTAACTTTGACCGTAGCTATAACGGTAACCGGTGCTTTTTGTATGGAGTTTGACAGAATTTTGACGTTTGTTAAAGTTAAAGTAAGATGGTGCAACTCAGCCTTAGAATTTTAATAATAGAATTTGGTTACAAACAAATAGATATGTATTTTTTTTAACCACTTGTAATAGGTGTACAAATAATTCGTTTTTGAGTATTATCATTATTTAGAGTGGTACATTTTAATGAAACTAATTGGCCACAATGATCAGAAGTTAACTTGTTAATAATTGATTTTCTTTCGGGAACACAATTACAAAAGATGTTATCTAAACAGGTAGCCGTTGTATCTGTTATTCTTGTCGGCTCCATGAATTGGCCATGTAAATCAAAAGATTTAAAAAGAGTTAGCAGTCTCATACTCGTGGATGAGCTTTCCATCAAGTTAACGTTAAAGTCACCACAAACTAAGATTTTTTTATTTTTGTTGCTGACCTTATTAAGGGCATCTTCCATAACCGCCTCAAATACACTAAAGTCACCAGAAGGTGGTCGATACACGCATAATACAATATATCTCTCAAGCTCCACACAAGAAATTTCAATAACTCGCTCAACCGAAAGCCCTACTACGTCATGTCGTTCCTTGCATTTTAAATTATTATTAATAAATATTACAGATCCACCGTGAATAGCAGATTTTCGAAAAAAAGCACTAGATAATTGATAACCATCAATATGAAAGGAACCTTCTGCCTTTTTTAGCCAATGTTCAGTAATACAAATGACATTTACATTATGGCTTTTTAAAAATAATTCTAATTCTAGATCCTTGCCGGCCAAACCCTGGACGCAGGCCGTTACCAATCGATCAACATGGAAAGCATTGGGGGAGGCCTATGTTCAGCAGTTGACGTCCTATGGCTGAAATGATGAAGCGATTGGTTTATTAGATTCTAGTTCACTCGACAAGTTTTGATCTATGTATTTGTGATTACCTAACGTATAAAATAGAGACCCGATTTCTCATAAAAGAAAATAGCTAGCTATGTAAAAAGTTGTGTTTTTCAATTTCTGTCAAACAATGATTTCATCATCACTTTATCAGATAAATCTAAAACTACATTTACGTAAGACTGTTATGAAGCTTAAATAAAACACTTTATTAATTGCGTTTTACAGAATAAAAGTGAAGAACTATTTAGCAGAAAAGAAGCCTTGCTGAACACTGGGGCTAATAAAAGGCTGGTAAAGGGCAACATTGTCAGTAATGCGGGGCAGAGCTGGGGTTGAGGTCTCTTCACACTGGAGTAGCTACTTTGCTACAAAAAGATTCGTGTAAACTAACGCCCATAAGTATTCACAAACATTACTACAAACACAGTGCGCGTGGACGCACAGGGTGACACACGAACCAATTACAGAGCTGCGCGTTCGATTTGCTACTTCACTTAAGCAAGCATCGTTTGTGAGTACTGGCGTAAGGCTAATATGTGAAGGTTCAAAATAATCTTTGAAAATTAAGATACAAGTGAACTGGTGAAAGTAGGATGCAGAATGCAATTTTCTAGAATTTTCACTTTTATTATCAACAGTGTAACTTGTTATGTTGTGTCCACGAAGGGATCCAGGCAGTAGTAGACTTTTATAAAAATTATAATATAAAGTTCTTGCATGCTTCTTCTTCTTTTGTGTCAATAACATTATAGTATGAACGAGCTTATGTACATTTCTGGAGGCTCAACTAAGCCCTAAGCTTGTGTAGGCATCGGGGTACGAGGTATTCAAGAAGTGGGCTGAATCTCGTAGGCATGCTCTGAGTCCACAAAGATCGATTCCAATCTTATCATGATGGTACAAGACTTAATTAATACGCATGGTCCAGGATCTGCTAGAAAAAGGCCCACATAACCAAGGTACATTATTATGGGTAGAGCACGATTTTCTTCTGCCTGTATCATCAAAGCTAGA